GCGATGGGAGATACCCAAAGATATCCGTGACACTAGGTAGGAAGCCCATATCCAGCATCCTATCAGCCTCATCAAGGACAGCATAGTGGACGTTAGATAAGTCCAAAGAGCCGTCCTGGAGGAGATCCAAGACTCGCCCGGGAGTACCAACAACGATCCTAGGGTGCTCAGCCTTCAACTGTTTCTGCTGCTCCCATTTAGGCGTACCACCGTAAAGGCAGATCGAAGGAAGCTTCTGCTTCTTCTTATCAACATCCACGATGACCTCATGGATTTGTCTGGCGAGCTCCCTAGTAGGGGAGAGTACCATCATCATACTATCATCGCCCTTCTGCATCGCCTTCGACATGAAAGGCAACGCAAAGCCGAGAGTCTTACCGCTACCCGTCTCGGCAACACCAATGACATCTAGACCAGAGAGGAGGAGGGGCCAGCACGCTGCTTGGATGGCTGATGGGGTCGCGAACTTGTCCTTAAGATAAGCCCTTAAGGACTTCCGAAGACCTGACTCGTCGAATGTCCGTGCGAGAGGTACCTCAGTGGGGTCTGATAGACCTGAGATGTGGATAACGAGTGGTACACCTATTCCATGTCCAGTTACCAGCAACCTCTATCTTGGAGTCTCCATAGATGACTTCAGGAGGGCTAGGCTTGACGCCAGCATCAACAGTTCTCTTCCTTGATACAGCTTCCGGCATTTTGGATATATAACGTAAAGGGTGGCTAAGAGAGGATAGACCGGAGATGTGGTAAGGTAACTACACGCCTAACGTAGTCTCGGCTATTAGCCTCAACCGACCAAGCTTGCGAAGATATTAGTGCGGCCAGGGGAGGCCTATTGTCAAGGTCTAAGCTTCCAACAGTACGTCGCCGAGTTATGACTTACTGGGCGAGCGCTAAATCAGTCCAGAATTTGTCAAACCAAGGAGAAGTCGAAATCTCCTCTCATAGCACACTGAGATTTGCCCTGTTATCATCTACTCTATCACGCCTGAGCTGGGCCATCCTCATTTAAAGCAGCCGCCACCTTAATCGTGTATAAGGGTGCTGCACTGTAGAGGTAGCCACGACGATAATAACAATCGATTACCAGGGCGCAGCGAGATCGTCACAATGCGTGTATTGCGCGGACTATAGAGGCTAGCAGCAGCTGTTTTTGGTTATCGGGTATGCCCATTACGAACCATCTAGGCCACAAGGTCCTCTCTCCGATTACGGATAAGGAGGAGTTTGAAAAGGCATGCAAGAAGAACATCTATCATATGCTTATGTAGGATACTACCTATTTCACATCCGTCTTTATATGCACATGGTCAACTACTTATGGGAAATTATGGTTGATTTTGTATACCCAAAATCGTGTAGATACAAACTCACGAGCTCAGTTGAGGAGACGCTTTCCTCAGGTACTCAGCTCTGCAGGGGATATGCCAGGCCATCGCGCAGATGGGTATCTTCGATGCATATCTTTACGTTATGGCTGGGGACTCCAATAAAGCTGTCGGATGGGCTGAGTCCATCTCTGGGTTGAGCCAAGTCTCTGTTGCCATACCAGCAGGCATACTGGTCGATAAGTAAAATTAGGGGGGTGCCTCCTCTAGAGGCGAATTCCCACGATGATAGGTTCTCTCGAGCCCTGATATGTCGATGGTGTGGTTGGTTCTCCTTGCTCATGGTCGTGTTATCAATATGTGGTATATACTACGACAATGTAAGTAGCCATGGTATTACTCATCGTCTACCTTTTTCTTTCAGATGATAGTCATATGCTTCGCCCTAGCTGTGGCTGGTGGCTACTTCGCAACACAGAACTGCGCGACCTACTCCCTTTTCGCAGACTCCATCCCTCAGGGTCACCGTGCTAAGTGGCTAACGCGAGCATCAGTGGTGAATCAGTTGGCCTCGGGAATCGGACCATTCATCGGTCTATTCCTGTTCGTATACTTCGGTAATGAGTGGCGACTAAGTGTGCTGCACACTGTGCTCATCATTGGTTTTCTCGGATTCATCCCTGCCAATTTTTTCCTCTTTGGATGGACTGATGTAACCCATGAGGATGGTCTCGGTGGCAACGCAGGCCGATCAGGTGAGTCTAATGACCTCCTTTCAGGCTGTGATAGGAAATCGTCTCTCAGGGGCGCATGTATATCGTAAGACAACATCAGAGTGGACTTGGACAATACCCTATCTGATGTGTGCGAATGACTTCATCACATGTATAGGCGCCGGGATGACTGTGAAGTTCTTCCCACTATTCTTCAAAAACGACTATAACTTCTCGCCGACTCAAGTGCAGCTCCTCTGGGCTTTCTATGGGCTCACCTTTGGTCTCTTCACATGGTTCTGTGATAAAGTAGCGAATCATGTCGGTAGAGTCCAAGCTGGAATCCTCTTCTCTACTCTTGGGGTTATATGCCTCTTCTGTCTAGCATGGGTCCGCTGGTTGCCCGCCGTTGTTTTTACCTTCTTACTCAGAGGGGCGGTCCAGAATGCGATATACCCGGTTGATCGATCGATCATTATGGACTTCGTACCATCTCACCAAAGGGGGAGGTGGAACGCCTTGGAGTCGCTATCGTCGATGACCTGGTCGGGGTCTGCAGTGATAGGAGGGTACCTGATGGACAACCATGATTATCGATATACCTTCGTTGTGACGGCTTATATTTATCTGGTGGCCTTGTTGATGCGGTTGCCGCTGCTGAAATTGGTAGTAGAGAGGGAGGTCGCGGGTTCGATCCCTGGTGAGCGCATTTTGTTTTCTTCAGGTCCCTAAGGAGGAGAAGTTCACGTTCACGGAGAGTCTACTGAGTGTTCCAGAAAGCAATGCTAGTATGGATGAGGAGAGGATGAAAGTTATGGCGAGCCCACGAACGCCAAA